TAACCCGGTAAGTGTTTATCTGTAATATCCGACACTGTTATTTACCTTATCATATTTTTCCTATAGTATAATATAATGATGTAATATCCAAATCACATAAAGGGATGCCTATCCGCCATCGTTCCTAGTCTTTGCAAGGATTAAGGGAGGAGAGGCAAGCCGAGAATGATATAAAATGAGCAAATGAGCACAGAAATACCAGTTTTGGACAATTTCAAATGCATAACCTCATATAAGAGTTTGCAGAGACATATGATTAGGGTAACGGATGTTTTCGAGGACTTGTGATGAGTGGAGTTTAAAGGTAGGGGTGTTCAAAAAAACCGTTGGACCGCTCAAACCGACCGAACCAAGTCAAACCGGACCGTTTTTGGCGGTTTGAGCGGTCTGGCGGTGCGGTCCGGCCTGGTTTGGAAAATAGCAAAACCGAGCGGTCTGGTCCGGTCTGCGGTTTGGAAACTTTTTTGGACGGTTTGGACCAAACCGACCGCCATATATATATATATATATTTATTTATTTATTTATTTACTTTAATATTAGCAAGCTCAACTTTTTTAACTTATTGACTATGACCCAAATTAACATAATCAAAATCGACGACTAAAACCATTAAACCATTGAACATATCGACACATTTGATATTGACGGTCTCCAAATTTTGAAATCCCTCAAAAACTCTATCAATCTATTGATCTTTCTAATCCATGGTTTGATTTCGGCGCACATTATCAAGACATCAACCAACTTAGATTTGACTTCTATTTTGTTTGGTCAAGACTTAAGAATTGAATCATTGAAGGTTGTGAAGTCGTGAATTTTGTTACTCAATACTCACAGTAGAGTTGTAACTTTGTTAATTTATTTGTTTTCTAATATGTTATATCTTTATATGTTTGTACTTTGGATTGCCTCGACTTTGTACTCAAGAGCTGCTTAATTATTACATTTATTTGATTAGATATTTTTTTGTTAAAATGGATACTTAATCTAAAATTCTAAATTATATATATATATATATATATATATATATATATATTAAGTTTAAGTTTAATATAAAGTCCATTAAAAGCCCAAACCGCCTAAACCGGTCAGACTAGACCGCTTTTATATGGTCTGGTTTGACCGGTCTGGGCACTTGATGTCAAACCGCTCGGTTTGAAAATTTTATAAACCGCCATTACGGTTTGATTTGTGGTTTGAGGGGTTAAACCGCCCAAACCGGACCGCGAACACCCCTATTTAAAGGGGTAGAGAGGGTGAGATGGGAGAGGGTCAGAGAGCTGACAACTTGGTATCAGAGTTTTAGCGTAAACTCTTTGTGGGTAGTTTGGAGTATTTTTTTATCAGGGACGGACCTGGTTAAGCGCCTATGGTGGTACGTGCCACTGGTAAATCCCTTCGTCATAAGATAAAAAATTTAGATTCGTAAAATCCCTTCATTTCTTGTTTTCCAACATATTTTGTCACTTAAAGATTCCAATTTTTTCGAAATACCCTTTTCAAAAGTCCGTGATTTTACAGAAACAGTCTCTCTATCTTCCGAGGGTAAAAGAATAACCTACTTAAATTTCGCTCTCCGCTAAACTTTACATAAGATTTACTGGGTACGCTTTGTTTAGTTTTTTTTTTATACCATCTTTGTTTACAAATACTGTGTACTCATGGCTCGAATCAACAACGTTCTTTTTATCTGATCCTTATCACTACTTTGACTCAACCTTCGACCGTTTGAATATCTGTTATTTTCCACTAACAAAAGAGCACGAGAAAGATTCTGTCGTATAAATCTCTTTTTCTATTTTAAGAAATTACAACAATTTGATTTATCTTGCTTATATCTTTTATGGGAAGAAGGCTGAATTTTAAAAAGACTACTTAAAAGTTAAGAGTAAGCATCTATAAGGATCCTAATAACCTTCCACTTAAAGGAAAAAAAGAGAGGAGAGAATGAATTCTAGAAGCCTTTTGAAGCCATAATATGTGCATTCTATGTACCTACTCCACACTCTAAAAGACCAAGAGAGAGTTGAGAAAGATTTTAACAATTTATTCGATTATTTATACTGTATTATAAAACATTCAGTTAAAAGTCTTGAAAATGATTTATTAAGTACCGTAAATTATTTAGTAATATACACTTAGGTAACTCTCAAGTTTACAAATAATTATGATGTCTTAAAATTCATGTAACTAACTTATAAACATATTCAAATATAAGATAAATCATATTGGAACTTTACTCATGGATGTCCCTATAAAGGCCCAAACGGGTCCTGTACACCCGCTCAGCCAATTGTCGTAAGTAGATTTTTTTGGGTATGAAAGGTGTACCAACTGAACTATGAGGGCGAGATATTTGAAAATACAGTGAATATCAACTGAAAAAGTCTCAAAATAAAAAAAAACAATGATAAACGAAAAAAAAAACTTTAAATAATCTCTCTAAACGGAGCAAGTCAGCTAAAACAGATTGGGAAACTTTACACGTCTTTGATCCATCTTCAAAGTACATCTTTTTAACAAAAAATTTGAATCTGACACTTACCTTGCTAATAAAGAGAATATTATTGTCAACTTTATTCAAAATATACTTCATGATTAAAACTAAAATAATTTATACCAAAAATATAATAAAATATTATACTATTTATAAAAAAAACAAGAATTTTATTTCGATGTTTTTTACTGGATCTTCAAATTGGCGTAACATGTTAACCTATCACTTATAATTTTTATGTTTTCCAAGCATAAATTTTGATATTTTCCATAATATATTATTAGTTTACAACAAATTGCATCCTAATATACAAATACCAAGGTTCAAAATGGTGTCAGATGTGGCGTGACGACAAGCTCAAGACTTAAGCCTTACACGTCATGCAATGACGCGATGTTTTTCTACACGTGACATAAAGTCGACAAATTTGTATGTTATATATAAAATTATATATATATATATATATATACACACACACACATATGGTTTTTATATATTACTTTAATCAGATAATGATATTAGTTCATATTAAAAGAAAAATATCATATAAAATTATTATTATAAAAATAGTTTTTGATTAAATATTTAAAATATAACTTAAAAAAACAATTTTATAATTTCGTTTTAATCGTGAATCCATAACTTTTATAAGTTCGTGAAACTGTCAGTGATGTGATTAGATAATTATCTATAAAATTAAAATTAAAAATATAAAAACGCAAAAAAAAATTAAAAAAACTTATATCTTGTAAAAACATGCATCATAACGACAAAAACACGTCTTATACCATATTAAACTAGCAAAAACTTCAAAAAGAAAGAGACCAAATTCAGGCCACCTTTGATACAACATTATATAAAATATAATATAAATGAGATAATATCAGTAATAAAATAATAGTAATACTCTTTCTCCAAGGGGCAAAGCTTTTCATTAATAAATAGTTTAGGTGTTACACATCAGCCTCCAAATTAGCATATAATCACTTAAATTAAATAATTAATAATACCATATAATTGACAATTAATTATGGTTTATTAACACGTGTCCGCTAGATGACTCATCATATTCCACCACTCCAAATGGTAACCAGAAGCTTCACCTAGACCATTAATTAAACCTACATTGTCAGCAACGAAAACCCTACCAATTTCTGTTCAAACAAGTTGTTGATAGTTTATAACTTTAAATTATATATAAAACGACTTTAACATATCTGCACAGAATCTTCCTCATAGTCTACAAGGTGTAATCCGTCTAAGATATTACAAACACCACCCTCCTCCTCGTCATTCCTAAGATTTGCTCCACCATTTCGATGATACAAGAGCTTTGATATATAACGTTTGTAACAGTATTTAGGCAAATACCACATTGACGACGATTGCAAGGATTAAGATTATGGTCAAGCCTAGGATGTCAGAAGTGTAAGTGGGAGAGTTTAAAAGCCCATGGATATAAAAAGTAAACTTAAGAACCCTTTATAAGATCAAAGTTGTGGGTTACTGTAGAAGCTGATTTTTGTTAAATTTTACGACACTCTATACAGTATATATAGCAAATTACAAGATGATAATAACAGAAAGCATCAGAGGCATTTATAGCCATATCAAACAATATAATTCTGCAATTAAATCCATATCAAACAGCATAATCGTGGCTTGTAAGTGATCCTAAACTCTAGCCATATTTGTTGGAATACCATTGATTTAATGGAGGGGATTTGATATTGGAAGAAATTTGTGACAAAGAATCAATGAGTTTAAAAACTACCGATAACTGTCATCATGATTTTAAGTTAGGTTAGAAGTTATTGGGCCAGCTTATTGCTTTGGGTTTGGAGTGTTACATCATGTCCCACCAATCACAAAAGACGTATAATTATATCAGTTAATATAAATTAAATTACATTTATGTCTTGAATTCTCTTTAATAATGTGTTTTCATCGATGAACAGAACTCATACATAGGATTTGGGAACAACAGATTTTTATACGATATAGCATTCGTTGTAGGATTGCGTGTATCAACATATGTTAAACAGGGATTGGGCAAGGGGCCATTTTCAAGGAGACACCAACAACCACTAAGTTTATTTTAAATTGTTATTATGAAGGCAAGTGCTTTCTTTTAGATTCTGTGTTATCATTGCAAATATGACTTCAGCTTATATGGTTATCATATAAGGGATGTTTTCTTTGATGGTTAAGTTTTAAAGTTGCATAGATTTGGAGTTACACTTGCTCGATTTCGATTGGCTAGAAATCAATTTATCGACACTTGGTGAAACATGATTGGAGGAATCAGGAACATGGTTTACTTTATAAACTATAAGATCCCATCCTAGATTTGCAAAATGAAAAGGTGAGATCACAAAGGGGTACTGAATTTGGTGCTAGATGGTGTGTATATATTATGTGTGTATAAAGGGGGTGATTCAAGTTAAAGAGCAATTTGTGTCATTTGAGTTGGAGACAAGAAAATAAGCAGAAAAAAGAATTAAAATGACGGAAATGATGAGTTGGCGAATGCAGGAGGAAGGGTGGAGGAAGGGACCGTGGACACCGGGGGAGGATAAGTTGCTTGCAGAGTATGTTGCAATGCACGGAGAAGGAAGATGGAGCTCGGTTGCCAGTTGCTCAGGTATCATCTATGTTTGTTATCACTCTCACCTCTTGTATCACCTAAACACATACCATCAAATCCGTATGAGGATCTTTTAGATAAAGATTCAAAACGGTTTTCCATATCTTTATTACAATCAAGTTATTTAGCTAAATGACCTTCTGACAAGTTCCTGATAGACTTAGAAAAAACCCTGACAGAAGGTCATTTAACCAAATGAACCCCTTGCAATCGTAACGTATTAGGCTAGTTACTCATTTCACTTGATTTTGGCCATTAATCTTGATTTTTTTTCTTTTGTTTTTAGGACTAAAGAGGAATGGGAAGAGTTGTAGGTTAAGGTGGGTGAATTACTTAAGACCTGGCTTAAAGAAAGGCCATTTATCACCTCAAGAAGAAGGCATCATTATTGAACTCCATGCTCTATGGGGAAACAAGTAATCCATCTTTTATTATCTCAAGTATATAATATTTGTACACAATAGATACTTATGGACATTATTCAGTTTTTGGTGAACTAACCCTTGACCTCCTTGTGAGGCTGTACTGTACTACTAGTAACTTGGATATTTCTAGGCCAATGACCTTTTGTTTGGCTCTATCTAAAACCATATATGTTTCATGATACAGATGGTCTACTATAGCTAGATATTTGCCAGGAAGAACAGATAACGAAATCAAGAACTACTGGAGAACCCATTTCAAGAAGAAAGAAAAACCATTGGAGAACCAGAAAAAGAGAAAATACGAAGTTCAGCTTAACCATAATCAAGAGCACCAACGAGGTCCCGAAATTATGAACGATAATACCACATTACCTTATGCAGAAGAGATCGATAGAGGGTTGTTCACTGAATCATCACAAACCACGCTGCAAGAAACAAACCAAATGATCATCAACGATCAGCAGCAGCAACAAAACCCAAGTGTGATGGCTCAAGATGTTGCACGGTGGTGGGATACAGTATCCGAAGATGGATTATGGAGCAGATTTCTGTGGAACAATCTCGACAGTGATCATCCAAACCAAGCTGTAATGGAACAGCCGTTTCAGATGTTAGATTCTTTAAGCATGAATTAGACTAAATTTCGAACAATATGTCACCAATAGGTATCATTTCTTGCTTGTATTATCGTAAGAAAAGATATAAATAGATTAAAGCTTCATAATCACAAGTATGTTATTGAATCTTGTTAGCAATCTTTAGTCAAAAAAGCACATACCATGCTAGTTGAAGTGATCATGAACTCTGGGTTTCAGAATGCTTCTTGTACCTTATTACAAGTTCTTTTAGGAATTTTATCAAATAGTTTATGGGCATGCAGTCGCAACACTTGATCCATGGCATTTGTCTCATATCCATTCACCAATCGCCATGCACCTAATCTCGTGATACCTTAGATGGGCCAAATTGATGAAGGAATGATTTTGGATCCGACATAAGTGATACAATCAATCAATTTTTTGTAAAACTGGATTTCGTGTTTGCCTGCTTGGTGTTTCATCTTCCCCAGAATATGAACTGCTGGTATTTTTTTATCGGAAGTTGTAGATATTTACATATGGGAAAAGTTTGAAAAAAATGAAACGAAGTTTTCTTATTAAGAACAATTCATGTTTTTTTATAACAATATACTTTCAAAATATTTTTACTAAAGTACTGTATTTTCAAAAATTTACCTATTATAGAATTAGGTAGCATTTTAAATTAAATTTACCTATTATACTAGGTTTTTATGTCACCTCATCGTCCACGTAAGCTGTCCACATGTACCATAGTGCTGACATGGCATTTCTTATTATAGCATTGTACTTTCAAAATCACGTTATTGTAACATCACGTTATTGTAACATCACCAATTTCTGTTACAATATTATACTTTTAATTTTAATATTTTTATCATTTAAACAATGTAAATTTAATCAAATATGTTTATTAAAAATTATAATATCAGAAATTAAACATGTTTACAAAATATCGTTATTTCACAAATAAAAATATTAATAAAAAAATGATGTCTAATTGTTGATATTATAATTTTTATGAATATTTTTATTCGTGAAATAACAATCTTTGTAAACATGTTTAATTTTTGATATTATAATTTTTAGTAAACATATTTGATTAAATTTACAATGTCTAAATGATAAAAATAGAAGAATTAAAAGTACAATGTTGTAACAGAAATTGGTAATGTTATAATAAAGTAATTTTGAAAATACAATGTTATAATAAGAAACGTAATGTCAACACTATACTACATGTGGACAACCTACGTGGATGATGAGGTGGCGAAGAAACCTAGTATAATGGATAAATTTAATTTAAAATGTTACTCGATATTATAACGGGTAAATTTTTTAAAATACGATGTCCTAATAAAAAATATTTTGAAAGTACATTGATGTAATAATAAAAAACTGAAAGTACAATGCTATAATAAAGAAATTTATAAAATTAGGTTGCTATTTCGCGCATTTTGCCTGTTTATATTAAGAAAAACTTAAAACGGTTTTAACGTTCTCGAACTATTAGTCATTTTTGAACCCAAGGTCATTGCTCTCTCGCACCCCTCGTCGGTTCATCATTGTTCACTCTTTGTTATTGCACATCGTTGAACGCTGATGTTGGCCCATGCCATTGCCATTGATCTCCGTCTTCTTGATCCGTTTTTTTTTCTCCCAATTCTACCTCTTTTTTATCTGTCTATGCAAACTCAATTAAATTGTTGGAAAAGGAGAATTCAATGACGAAAAAGAGATCGAAAAAAGAGTGATCAATGGGGGCGGGGGGGATACAACGATGGGCCGCGATGGAGAGCGGACGATGATGGGGACAGTGAGGGATAGCAAAGGCGTTGGGTGCAGGGATTTTGAACAGTTGATTTAAATTTGAAAAATGAATAATGACTTGTAATTCTGTTAAATTGGTTCACTGTAATTAGTAATGAACAGTTGATTTAAATCCTGTGATCGTATATACAATTCTTAAGAAAATTTGCCTTTCAAAAATAAATTTATGTACAATAAAATGAAGTCATATTTAGTAAAATTTAAACCCCGTGACCTTATGAGAAAAGAGGTTGCACTGGTAACACAAATACCAGTACAAGTAGGTCAAAGATTTTTAGTATGCTTAAAGATTTAATCGTCTAAAAATATCAAAATCCGCTGGAATTTCTAGGTGTCAATAAGTTTAAAGATTTTTTTTTTGATTAATCTGGATATTCAACCCGCTATGCGAGCCGACTAATTCCAGGGCGATCACCTGCTTTGCAGATAGCCTGGAGTCAACGCGTTTGAACCTCCATGGCCACAAGGGGATTTTTATTCCTCCTTGGATTTGAACCTGGGACCTACAGGTACTTTTGATTTTTAGAGCCAAGCTTAAACCAATCAGACACCATCCTTGTGGTTTAAGTTTAAAGATTTATTTTTTCTGTTTTAATACATGCAGCAATTTATTTGGTTATAAATAATTGTACGATGACTTAATCGATCTCTCCTTCAACTTTTTCTCTTCACATATAATATATTTTCCCTAAACCAAACCAAACAATCTCATTTACTACGACAAAATTGAGTTTATAGGACGCCTCCAATCTCTAAGCGTTCCAATAGATCGTTTTATAGGACTTAATTTATAGAACTAAAATATAAAATGTTTTATCAAAATGCGTTGTAATAAGTTTATATGACGTTTTTGGACATATTAACAAGTTTTTTAGAACATTTTTAATACAAAACATCGTATTAGCAACTTTATATGATACTTTTGAGAAAGTGTCCTATAAACTCAATTTTTTATAGGACACTTGTTTTTTATATGACCATTTTTTGAATAGTGTTCTATAAAATTGCTAATGGAACGCTTTATATTAAAAGTGTCCTAAAAACTTATTAAAATATTAAAAAAAACATCATATAAATTTATTACAACGCCTTTAGATATGACACTTTATTTTTTGGTCCTATAAACTAAGTCCTATAGAGAGGTCTATTAGGACGCTTAGAAATTGAGAGCGTCCTATAAACCCGATTTTGTTGTAGTAATTATACTTTGAATCTCAAGTTTAACCACAATGGTGGTGTCCGATTGGCTTAAAACTTAGTCTCAAAAGGTCAAAAGTGCATGAAGGTCTCACGTTCGAATCCAATGAGAAATAAAAATTCCCTTGTAGCCATGGAGGTTCAAATGCTGTGACTCTGGACAACCCACGAAGCGGGTGATTTCATTGAGATTAGTCGGCTCGCATAGCAAGCTGAACGTCCAGGTTAATCAAAAGAAAAGTTTGACCAATTTTAAAGAAAACTACATCAGTAAAACTGATAAAGTTAAGATTCAAACTAATATTATATAACGATACAATATAACTAACTATTAAAGTATATATCAGCATCTACTTATTTATTACAAATACGATAAACTCTGCTACTTTCTCGCTTTAAATAAGTAATTAAATTATACTGCTCAATCACTAATTAACTGATACACAGTTTTTAAAGCAACCAAACAAATTAAACAGTCAAATTACTTAGATTCAACACCTACTTATTTAATTTTCGTCAAACCAAGTACAACCCTGTTTTCCTCGATTATAAAAAACTGATATGGATAATGAGTACAAAAATCGAATTTATAATTTTTTAAACAAGGGTTTTTAACTACAAAGACTGAATTACAACTACGGTTGTTTTGTTTCTTGATCAAATATGTATTACATACGTTACGGGGTTGTTTGTTTACCATCTAATAGTTCCATTAAGATGCATCATCTGAATCGTTAAGAGGTGAATCTTGTTTGGCAAAAAAAAAGTCTGTTTTTTAATGGTTCTAAAATTCTCTAAATAATTTTGTATCATAAAACTTCCTTAACCATTTAACGCCATAATTTTATTGTAAACAATTATATATCATTTTGTACTATATTATGAGAGTCTCTTAATTAATTTGACTACTTAATCATTTTATACCAGATCATTTAAACTGTCAAACAACCTCATAGTTGGTTATCAGTCTCGAACTCACAATAATTGATAACTCGATTAATACCTCAAAACTTGGGTTGCAAGTCGTTAGTAAGAGCACCCACATGGGGCTTGCAATTTGAATTGCAAATTGACTTTTGTCAGGTATCTTGCTGCCATGTAGGATCTCAATTGCAAAATTTTCAATTCACATTGAAAGCCACGCGGGCCATCAACCTCCTCTCCAATTTTTTTTTCTGATTATTTAAATAAATTAATTTTTATAATATTAATATATTTATTAATTACATTAATTATTCTTATATGAAAATATTCTATGCATGTATATATGTTATTTAAAAA